GGAGATTCCTAGAGAGGTGTTGTCTTAGGTAAAAAGAATAGTGTTTTTTCTACATTCACAGTGGTCCTTTACCCCTAACCCCAGCAAATGTGGAGGGACCACTGTATATATTTATTAAAAATGATAATAGAGCTTTGTTGTTGTTGACTCACCCCAGGTCACCCAATGATTGGTTTCCATGGCTGAGCAATGAATTGAACCCTGGCCTCCAGAATTGTAGTCCAGTACTCAAACCACTATGTCATGCCAGCTCTCATTTCATTATGTACATAAATGCAAATACAGGTATTCCGACATGAGATTTATATGACGGTTGACTTGCCGTCCAGCAACTGATTGTGTGAGTCTACTAGCAATCCAATTTAGGCCACTATGTTGAGTCTATATATTGAGGTTCCCCCCCCCTGGTTTATATGAGTTAAAAGAATCCAAAGCCTTTCTGGTCCAAAATATTTTGGAGAAGAGAGACTCGACTTGTAATAGAGTTCCTCATTAAAGATTATTAGGAAGAATGAAAAATGGAATAAAGAAGGGAATGAGCTGGAGGCTGCTCATCCTGGTGAGCTTCTGTTATCACCTAGGATGACAAATGAAGACAGGGAGACATTAATTGAGATCTCAGTCCAGACAAAGAAGGAGGGGGGTCTGAATATGAGAGCAGATGTTCTGGGTTGGTGGAAGAAAGGGGGAGGAAAAGAAAGACTGTATTCTCTTGGGGCCGGGGCTAAATTTGATCAGCAAAGAGTGCATGTGTGACTCTGCCAACAGTAGCATGTGCCCCACCCACAGCTCTATGGCACTCCAGAGAGGAAAAGGTCCCCAGAGGCCTTTAAACACAACATCACTAAAGATGCCTGCATCTCGCAATCAATAAGAACTTAATTATTATGATTAACTGCTGTCAATTTGGCCCCGGCACATGGTGGAGTGGAGGAGACATCTCCAAGAATCCCCGCCGTCCTCCAAGGTTGGGGGATACAGGACCCTGGGTGAAAGTCAGAAAACAATGATCATCTCTACTCTCCCCAAACCATATTTAATGCTCACAAAAGTACCTATGCTGGCAGGGTGGCAGTGTCTGGCCATATATGCATTCCCTCACTTGCTCATGCACGTGATTTTAAAGGGATGGGACAGTAGGTGGGACTTAGGAGAAAGGGGACAAGTCTTTCCCATCCAGTGGTGTACCAAGGATGGGGTGGTCCACCTCAATTGCAGGCAATAAAGGGGTTGCATTGAGGGGGGCCCTGGAGTAGCCTGGCCTGAGTCCAAATTCAAGAGCTACTATGTAGTGGTACATAGCGAGAGAGAATCTCGGGTATCAGAAGTTACTTGCTGTATGAGCAGAGTTTGGAAGAATTACCATATACACTCTACTATGAGTCGACCTCATGTATAAGTCAGGGCAGGTTTTTTAACCCAAATGATGGGTTTTGATATGACTGGTTGATGTCAAGGATAAAACTTAGGGGTGTGTAATAAAGGGTGACATAAAGGAAAATTATGCCAAAGAACTTTAAAAGTCCCAGAGGTTTAACTGTTTGTGCATATCCTAAAGGCTGGATGGATGAGAGAAGAAAGGGAAGTATTTCCAGGGCAGATTAAACTCTTGCCTTTCACCAAGGATGGTTCCTCTTTTTTAAAAAGAGCATTAAAGTACTGTACTTACAGTGACCGAAGGATAGTCGACTCAGGTTTTTTTGGGTCAATTTCTGACTAAAATTTCTAGAATTATACATGAGCATATACAGTACATTGACCCGTGGATAAGACAACTCAGTTTTTTGGGGGTCAACTTTTTGACTAAAATTTCTGGAATTACACATGTGTATATACAGTACCATTTTTGCAACAGAATTTCAGCTCTCAGAATCCTCCAACTAGAGTGGCTCAGATTGCAGAGAGGTTCTTGGAGTTGGAGACTAAAAAGGATGGTAATGTTTCCAAGCTCTGTGTTTGACTCCAGTTATAGGACACCTATCTTCTAGGCTCCCTTGTTCCTTATTTCCTCAGCAAATGGGTGCGTATATCTTTAAGAGGTTACTGTTTGCACTTTCCCAGGCTTTGGTGTTGTGGGTAACTCACCAAATGAGTCATTATTGTGAGATCCTGGAGACAAAATTGCATGGACACCAAACAGAGGAGAACAATAGCAACAGGAGCCTGAAAAACTCCTCCCATTCTTCCTTTCCCCTACTGCACCCTCCTTTGCTGGCTTCATACACATTTTATATAAAAGCTCTTTACATACCAAAAGAGTCCAAGTAAAACAGAAGCAAGAATCAGACAAGCACGAACTACTCAACTTACATTTTTCTGGTTCTGTTTATTCGACTCCCCCCCCCTCCACAACTGGGCAACCAGCCAAGGGACAAGCAAGATCAGTTTTTGCATTCCCCATGCACTGGTTTCCCCCTTGGGGTCCCATTCTGTTCCAAAAACAAGACCGGTAGCTAATGATTTCTAGCAACAAACTACAGGGGAGCAGGAGTTTGTCACTGTCGGTCTCTCTGTCGGATCACAAAACATGGGAGGAGGTGATGCTGAGTTAGATTTTGTATTTACAGGGGTCCCTCCACATTCGCTGGGGTTAGAGGTGAAGGACCCCTGTGAATGTGGAAAAACTGCAAATAATAAAACACCATTCTTTTTACCTAAGAGAACACCTCTCTAGGAGTCTCCAGCTCCTCCAATGCAATGCTATGGTCAACATCTGCCAGAAGCTGATTGTAGAATCATGCTGGAGGACAAACAAATACTTAGAGAAGTGTTTGCTCTAGGAACTTCTAGGTCCTCCAGCACAACTCTATGGTCAACTTCAGGCAGAATTGCTCTGGACGACTGAGAGATTCCTTGATCAAAACTTCAAATAATTAGATCTGCAAAAATCAAAGCCGCAAATGTGAAGGGCCAACCGTATTTATTTACACTCAAAGGAGGAAAATTGGCCTTGGAAAATGTCAAATGTTTTGTTTATGTCCAACTACAGAAAGGATACTCTTGATGTCTTGGGCATGTCTACATAGGCTATTTAAACCAGTTTCATGGCCCTTGCCATAGCCAAAGAGACAAAGGCCCAATTCAACTGTGGATTATCTTCTTGTAGAAAGGGCAGTCTCACATTGAATCTGGGCCATCCTTGCCTTAGTTTAAAATAACTTATCTTTTGCTCTGGGTCTTCCAACAAAATCTGGAGCACTGTGGAGCAACACCAGAGAGCTGTTCACATGCATGTCCCACTATCGCACCAGTGACACCAGTGCTGGCATCACTGGTGCAAGTTGCTCCCTCTGAGGTTACAATGTGATCAAGGCTGGGCAACTCATGCCAATGGGGGCAGCAATGGTCGGCACAATGGGACGTGTGAACAGCTGCCCAACATTGTTCCAGAGCACCCAAGTGATGGAGGGAATTTGGGGCATCTTTGCAACCAGAATACTCTAGGATCAGTCCAGAGTATTCTGACCAACATCAACTCACCGTATGACTTTGTTGTTGTGTGCCTTCAAATCATTTCCAACTAATGGCAACCCCAAGGCAAACCTATCCCAGGGTTTTATTGGCAACAGTCATTCCAAGGAGGTTTGCCATTGCCTTCCCCTGAGGCTGAGAGAGTGTGACTTGTCCAAGTTCACCCAGTGGGTTTCATGGATGGGCTGGGAATTGAACCTTGATCTCTAGTCATAGTCCAAAACTCAAAGCACTATGCCATGCTGGGTCTCCTAGGTTTTCAAATGACATAAATATATGACAAATCACTGATGGAGGGAAATGCTGCATAATGGTTCATTTTCTAAAAGGAGGAAGATAAATTCTAGTGCTTCCCTGTGATTAAACTTGGAACCCTTGCCTGTCCTCTCTGACTGAAGGCTGGTTCAATGCAAACCTTGGCAGATGTGCCAAGCAGAAGATTGTCTTCCTGCCCTGCCAGCTTTGCGTTTTCTATATTACACAAGTGGAGAGAAATCCAAGCCAACACCCCAAAGAGCAAACAATGAGCGTGGCTTTCCCTTGAGGCCATGTTAGGCCAAGCGCCGGTGAGGAAGAATCACCTGCCTTTACCTAGACCTGAAACAGGGCACCTGCATTTAAATTAAATCTCATCTGGTTGGGGTAGTGCAACAGGTGTGTGTGTGTGTGTGTTGTGTGAATTCAAGTCGTTTCCAACTTATGGCAACCCTAAGGCGAATCTATCATGGGGTTTTCTTGGCAAGATTTGTTCAGAGGAGGTTTCCCTGAGGTTGAGAGAGTGTGGCTTGCCAAAGGTCATTCAGTGGGGTTCATGGCTGAGGGAGGAATCGAACCCTGGTCTCCAGAGTTGTAGTCCAACACTCAAACCCCTACATTATGCTGGCTCACATGCTGATGGTTCTTAATGTGCTTTTTAAGGTGCTTTAACTGTTCCCAATTAATGTTTTGAAATGGATTGTTGTTTAATTCTGTTGTTCAAAGAATTATAGAATCATAGATTTGGAAGAATAATAGAATCAAAGAGTTGTTGCATGCCTTCAAGTCGTTTCCAGTTTATGGAGACCCTATCACAGGTTTTCCTGGCAAGATTTGTTGCCTTTGCCTTCCCCTGAGGCTGAGAGCATGTCACCCAGTGGGTTTTGGCCAAATGGGGAATCAAATCAGAGTCAATAGTCCAACACCCAAACCAGTATGTCACACTGGCTCTCAATACTTTTTTTAAACGGCCAAGAGAAAGCCTTACAGCATAGATCTTAGGACCCTTGCAGGTTGATATGGGAAGATATATAGTCTTTTTAGGCTAGACCTGAGATCACCTACCAGATGGATAGACTGGAAGCCACAGTCCTGAGTCTGCAAGACCTGAGCAGAGCAGTTGAGGACAGGAGGGCTTGGAGATATCTCATTCACAAGTTCACCATCAGCCAAAGTCAACTGAAGGGCAATCAACAACAACAACAGCAACAACAACAACAAAAACAAGAGAATTCATATTTGGAGGCAGGATGACCAGACATCCTCCTTTTCCCAGACACATCCTATATTTCAACCTTCTGTCCAGGAGGAATTCCAGAACGTCCTCCATTTTGAGCATGACTAAGAAGCATGGATTTACATTTCTATGAGTGTTTTGAGCTTTTCTTTGGTAAGGTCCTCCATTTTTCTTGAATGCCCTACATTGTGTGGTACCTTGTCCTCCTTGATGGTGAGGCAATCTGGTCACCCTGTTTGGAGGACAATCCTTTCATTCCGCCCCCCATAGCTATCTCCCTACCACTAC